GCTATGCCTATACTCATAGAATCTGGGATTACAGTACGTAACCAATGTCTCTCCATGTGCAAAACTGATAGAGACATACCGCAAGAGACTTGCAGCTGTAATTGCAGCAAAAGGCGGCGCTACAAAGTATTAACACGAGGGGGCCGAAAAATATTGCACGCCCCACTTTTCAGTTTTTTATTTGTTAAAAAAGTTTGGCACATCCAATAAATTTCATTCCACTTCACGATTGTGTCCCACTTGTTGATTCTTCACAAAAAATTACAATTTTATAACTTTATGTTGAAGACTGAAATGTGGCAAAAGGTTGAAAAGTTCAAGGGGGACGAATACTTTCGCAAGGCACTGTATGTATGTGTGTGTATATACATATACATATATATATATACATATACATATATATGTGTGTATATATATATATATATATATATGTATACATATATACATGTATATGTATACACGTGTATATTTATATATATGTACATACGTATATATACATATGGTTATATTTATGCAAACCGCATTCCAAAAAAGTTGGGACACTAAACAAATTGTGAATAAAAATTGAATGCAATGATGTGGAGGTGCCAACATCTAATATTTTATTCAGAATAGAACACAAATCACAGATCAAAAGTTTAAACTGAGAGAATGTATAATTTTAAGGGAAAAATCTGTTGTTTCCAAATTTCATAGCGTCAACAAATCCCAAAAAAGTTGGGACAAGTCCATTTTTACCACTGTGTGGCATCCCCCCTTCTTCTTACAACACTCAACAGACGTCTGGGGACAGAGACGACCAGTTTCTCAAGTTTAGAAATATGAATGCTCTCCCATTCATGTCTAATACAGGCCTCTAACTGTTCAACCGTCTTGGGCCTTCTTTGTCACACCTTCCTCTTTATGATGCGTCAAATGTTCTTTATAGGTGAAAGATCTGGACTGCAGGCTGGCCATTTCAGTACCCGGATCCTTCTCCTACGTAGCCATGATGTTGTGATTGCTGCAGAATGTGGTCTGGCATTATCGTGTTGAAAAATGCAGGGTCTTCCCTGAAAGAGATGACGTCTAGATGGGATCCTATGTTGTTCTAGAACCTGAATATAGTTCTCTGCATTAATGGTGCTTTTCCAGAAATGCAAGCTGCCCATGGCACAAGCGCTCATGCAACCCCATCAGTGATGCAGACTTCTGAACGGAGAGTTGATAACAACTTGGGCTATCCTTGTCCTCTCTGGTCCAGATGACATGGCGTTCCGCTGTTCCATAAAGAACTTCAAATCATGACTCATCTGACCACAGAACAGTCTTCCATTTTGTCACACTCCATTTTAAATGACCCCTGGCCCAGTGCAAACGTCTGGGCTTGTGGAGCTTGCTTAGAAATGGCTTCCTCTTTGCACTGCAGAGTTTCAGCTGGCAACAGCGGATGGCACGGTGGATTGTGTTCACTGACAATGCTTTCTGGAAGTATTCCTGAGCCCATTCTGTTATTTCCTTGACAGTGGCATTCCTGTTTGAGGTGCAGTGACGTTTAAAGGCCCGGAGATCACGAGCATCCAGTAGAGTTTTACGGCCTTGACCCTTACGCACAAAGATTGTTCCAGATTCTCTGAATCTTTTGATGATGTTATGCACGGTTGATGATGATAACTTAAAAGTCTTTGCTATTTTACACTGGGTAACACCATTCTGGTATTGTTGCACTAACTTTCTGCGCAACAGTGGTGGAATTGGTGATCCTCTTACCATCTTGGCTTCTGAGAGACACTGACACTCTGAGAAGCTCTTTTTATACCCAATCATGTTGTCAATTGACCTAATCAGTGTTAATTGGTCTTCCAGCTGTTCGTTATATGCTTAATTTCCTTTTTCCAGACACTTATTGTTACTTGTCCTAACTTTTTTGGGATTTGTTGACACAGTGAAATTTTGAGTCAACATATTTTTCCTTTAAAATGTTAAATTTACTCAAATTAAACTTTTGATCTGTCATCTATGTTATATTACGAATAAAATATTGACATTTGCCATCTCCACATCATTGCATTCAGTTTTTATTCACAATTTGTTTAGTGTCCCAACTTTTTTGGAATCCGGTTTGTATATTATATATATATATATATATATATATATATATATATATATATATATATATTGATATATACACAACTACAGCTATATATATGTATATATTTAATTATATTAATGTTTATATGTGTCATTTTTCACCACTTTTATTGTCTGTCCAAACAGGTCTCGCATGTAAACGAGTCTTCGAAGCTTAATGTGACTGATCTGTTTAAATAAAGATTGAGTAAATATGTACCAACAAATATCAAGTTCTTTCGGTTCTTTGTGAAAGAAAAATGTTTAGAGTAAAGAGTTTCAAAAAAATCTACAGCCGCTATACATAAAAAAGGAGAAAAAGCCACAGGCAAAGCAGAATGTTCAGAACAGAAACAAGATCATCCATTTTGGTTGTCTGTTCTTTTCCAGCTCTTCTTCTTCTAATATGTGTTAGTGGTGGTTAGTAATGTAGCACTAGCACCACCAGCTGGTAAGGCGCATTGATATTAATGATCTGCCCACTAAAGGTGAACTATCCGCCCACTAAAGGGGAACTATAGGCACTGTGGAGACTGAAATAAACTGGTCCCACCGGAACCGGCCTAAATAAGGCCCAATAGGGTCCTCCAAGAACCAGACCTGTGGATAAGGAGCTAGTGTGTCTTATCTTAGCCTTATAACCTGAACCCGACACTCACTGCTCTATAAATTGAGAAAGCTCCTCGGATGAGGAGCGAAACATCTTCTGTTACAAATAAAGTCCAGTTGTTTTTGTATTGAACGTTTTTGAACTTTCTGACTGGTCTTAAGATGTTGCTTTAATATTTTCACATAAAGTTCTTTCATAATGATATGAAATGCACCAGTCTCTCCTGCAGCAAAACACCCACACAACATGATTCAAGGATTTTTATTGTCATTCGCATCACATGTGGTACATCAGGTGGAACGAAACTATGTACACAGGGTCCCAGTTACATCCAACAAAAATACAAATTGTAACGACAAACAGTAGTAAGATCCTAGACATGAACTAAGAATATACTAAGCACAAATAGCACAAAAACAATGCGCCAAAACAATAGCAGCACGGACATGAGTCTGGGGCGGGTAGGCATGTTTATTCCTTCTGAAGTCCATGACCATCTCCTTCATCTTCTTCACATTGATGTGAAGGTTGTTCTTCCTGCAACAGCTCTCCAAGTGTTCCACCTCCTTCCTGGTGGTGGACTGGTGAGGGTCCACGTTGATGTTGATGTTTGCTTTGATGTGGGTCATGACCAGTTTTTCAAAGCATTTAGCAACTATCGGGTGAGGGCTACCGGCCGATAGTCATTTAGACCAGTCACTGTAGAGCTATTTGGAACTGGGATAATGGTGGCAGTCTTGAGGCAAGTGGGAGCTGTTACCAGTGTGAGGGAAGAGTTAAATATGTCGGCCAGCACCTCGCAGAGCTGATAAGCAGTCTTTCAGCATCTTCCCCAGGATGTTGTCGGGGCCAGTTGCCTTGTGAGGATTAATCCTCCTAAAAGTACTCCTTACTTTTGCTGAGGTCACGCTGAGGAACTCTTCTTCTTGTGATAAGGTGAGTCTGGTGCTGGGTGGTCTGTTCGGGTCTTCAAAGCATGCATAGAATCTGTTGAGAGCATCAGGCAGTGATGGATCCCTAGGGCATTCTGCACCTCTGCCTTTATAATCTGTTATGCACTTAATGCCCTTCCATATTTTCCGTGGGTCTTGTGAGAGATGCCCCAAGATCTTCTGTGCATATGCTGCTTTGGCTTTTTTAATACCAGCATCCAGCTCTAACCATATCCTCCTCAGCTACTGTGAATCGCCAGATTTGAAGGCAGTGTCCCTGGTTTTCAGCAGGGTGAGAACCTCTTCATTCAGCCAGGGCTTTTGGTTTGGATAGCTCTTTACATTCCTGAAGGTGGTGACGTCACCAGCACACTTACTAATGTAACATAGGGTTGGTTTCACAGTTGGGAACCAATATTCATGACATTTTGTTACATTTGAGCTGGTGCGTTTGCATTCACACTGCACTGTGCAGTCGAGTCAACTTGTTTGAACCAACCTATTCCCTCGCTCGCCTGTGGGGGCACTGTACCTAGAACTACTGAAAGAAACGACACAAAAACCTCTGAAGACACTTCTTCTTCTTCTGGAAATAAAAACAAAAATGGAGTGGCATCAAGCTTTAGCAGTTTTAGGAGTTATATTTTGTCATTTTTCAAAAGTGGACTCAGCATGAGTAGAAGATGAGGCAGAAGACCACGGAGAATATTGTTTTTCACACAAGGCAGCTGACAGCTTCATATAAGGTAAGAGAAATGCGTGTTTGTTTGTGGGGGTGGGGTACGGCTTTATATGCGTCTTTCACGTTGGTGTAAACACGGTCTAGTGTGTTATTTCCTTGCGTTAGTATGATGCTGTCACCCCCGTACTTCACAGCAGGGATGGTGATCCAAGACTTGCAATTTTCTCTCTTTTTCCCTCCAAATATATTGACGGCTGATGTAACCAAACCATCAGACCACAAGACATGCCACCAGATGTTTAGTAAGGGGTGAGAATAGGGAAACACCCAAGATAAAAACAATTTATAATCCTAATTGTACCATTATTCAAATGTTTGAATAATGAGGTTTGGAAGATGTTACGTTTGTTATGTGCACAACTGGAAACATGTTTCCCTGAGCAGTCCCATTCTACATAGAGTTGGATATTTATGACAGTAAAATACAAATTAAAAACTGAGAAAAAACAAGCAAATTTCTATTCAACTCAATTCAATTTATTTCTATAGTGCCAAGTCACAACAGAAGTCATCTCAGGGCACTGGTCAGCAACATTCACATGCATAAAAAGTCAATTAGTAAAGTTATCTAAGGAAGTCATCAGACTGTGTTGAATCTTCACTTCATCACAGTCTCCCATCCTGAGCCAGCACAAAGACAATCAAGTCATACATAAAAAATTAAGGTCAACTGGCTGCATTAAATGTCTGAATATCTGAAGGAATAATATGCCATAGCAACACTGAAATACTTTGAAAATTACAAGGAATGGTCTGTTTTGTTAATGCATAGGTACATAAGTTTAAAAGCTATATACTGTTATTAAAAGGAACTTCCATTGTAATGACAGCAGATGTTACACAAATTTAACAAATCATCCTGACAACTGGAACAAGAATAACACTAAGCATGTACTGTTTTATGCTGCATTAAATCAATACATTCTGTATAATATCATTAGCTGTGAACAGGCATGACATCAAAATGTGCATTTCTCCTTTCATTTCAGTCATAACTTCATAATTCTCTCATTCTTGTTTTTTAGATCGCCCCCTGAAGGTGTCCATGAGGTTGAAGGCTCCCAGGTACTGGCCCAGCAGAAGGCCCTGCTTCATGGGCAGGATGCTGAGGAGAGAAAAGCAACAAAGTCAGTTTGAGATCAAGATTAACTACTGTGTGAATATACAGTACATACCATATATTGTACAGTGCTTTAAAAACGTCTTTGAACATTGATCTCTTTCACTTTTGTTTACATTCCAACCACAAACTTTAAGGTATTTTTCTGGGAATTTATGTGATACACCAACACAAAGTAGCTCACAACTGTGAAGTGGAAGTAAAATAATGATTTTCGAAATTTTTTTCAGAAATCACCTAATTAGTAAATTGGGTCATGTCGGTAATTCTAAACAGCATCATGATGACCAAGAAACAAACCAAAGAGGTCAGGGATAAAGTTGTTGTGCATCACATGAAAAAAAAAAAAAAAACGAGTATGAGACGAGTACAAATCTACAAAGACATGGCTAACAATCTAAACTGACAGGCTGGGCAAGGAAAACATCAATCTAAGAATCAACCAAGAAGTAATTCTACAGAAGCTCAGGTGGGACAATCTGTTCACAGGACAACTGTTAGTTGTGCCCTCCACTAGAACCAGTATGGATGAGCAGTAAGAATAAAGCTTTCAGTAAAAGAAACTACTTGAGGTCAAAGTTGGAGTTTATCATAAGCCAAGCAGAAGACACAACAAATGCAAGGAGAAAAGTCAAATAAGACCAAACTGAAGCTTGTAACCTATTCTGCAAGAATAGAGAAATAAGTTTTTTTCGAGTTGTCAAGAACAAGAACAACGTTTTTTTCTTTTTTTTAAGCCAGGACATTTCATACTTTATGAGAAACTCCAGTGGAGAACTACTGGTGTGTCTTCATAAGGCCACCCCACTGCGCACTGTAAAATGTATTTTTGACTTTTAGTTGATTCAACATAATATTTTATGTCAGTTTGACAAACTGCATGTAATGGTGTTTTGATAACAATACATTGTTAGTTATAGCCTTGTTAACTTGTCAAGTCAAAATCTCACATCAAGCTGACTTAAAAACATATGTCAACTTAAATTAGTGCTAGTTTTACACAGCAGTCCAGTAGGTGGCAATAAGTGCACCAACAAGCTGGTTTATCAACCACTAATAAACAACAGAAAAAGAGCTGGATCAGTTAGCATGTGCCTTGTTTTTAGCTAGTTTGTTTGCTAGCTCAGGTCACCCTACATATAGATTCTGGATTTGGATATTGTTAAGATATTTTTGGACTGGTCCTATGGTTTTGATCTGCTCAGAGATGGGATTATAATGAAATTATGGCCCAGTTCTGACTGGGTTAAACTGGGTCAGCAGCTCTAAGTGAGTCTCCCTGGGATTTCAATATCTGTCACAGAATAGAGTTTAATCTGCTTGCTACATCATGTAGAAAGGCTTTTTGAAGCACCGTCATATTTCTTAACACATCAGAACCACATAAGATCCACTGAGATCACACTTAGTCACGCCCCCTCATACACTGACAGGTTGAGCTCCCCTTCTGCGAAGGAGGAGTCCAGGACCCTATAAATGAGTAATGACACGAGACATAGGGGCTCTTCTTCCGGGTCTGTGAACGCGTCACACACGGGAGAGTCCAGCGCTGTAAATTGTAACCTTTTCCTGCCTTTTTTAATATAATTGATAAAACTTAATTGACGTTTCCTTGATTTATTGATAATGAGTTGCCACTTCTGAGGGAGGTTCGAGCTGGGGGGAAAGACGTGGGCTGGAGGGGGTTTCTGGGTCCGGTGGCCCGCAGCCAACTCCCGTCTTTAACAATATCTTCAGTGACTGTATAGAGATTTTTGAAGCATCAGAAAATCAAGATAAGAAATATTTGGTAAGTTTGGATTAATTTATTCATATAGTTATGTTATTTATTTGATATTGCAACTTTCCTAAAGGTGGTTTGATAGTTACAAATAACATTTTGAATTTATATGAATTGCTGTTCATGTCATCTGGTGCATCGCTTGCCTGACATTCAGGGTTTCCCACATTACTCATGAAGTCATCCCTGACCAGCATCATCCTCTGTGCTCCGGTGAAGACAGACGTGCCCTCTTCTGCTCCATCCCCCCGCTTCCCTGCTTTGCTGTCTTTTGTCTTGTGAATCTTCAAAGAGCCTCTTTTATTTTTCCTGCATACCTTCCTAATTCGAAGGATTTTGATCAGCTGGTCTCTCAACAAAATTGATCAACTTCTCCCAACAGGAAGTCAGGGTAAGGAGGACCCTCTTACCTCGACAGAAACAAATTGGATTCATGAAGACAACTGTATTCTGCTGTTTGGGTTGGTGAAATCTGGATTGTCTACAAATTCATGTGGATGTGTCAAAGCTTGGCAGCACTCAGACTGAATTATGTGGAGCTGCGTCAGAGAGCTGGAACAGGCTGTTATCAGGACTGTGAACTTTCTGGCAGCACCCATGAATGGTTGGGAATAATCTTGGAGAAAGATGTAAACTCGACTTTTGGCGTAAGGAATCAATTCGGCTGTTTGGAGTTACCATCAGAGAAATGTACCAGCGAGACTTTAAAAGGCAGAAACTGCAATATATGAGTTCTGCCTGAACCAAACTGTGGCCTTGACGGCGAACTTATCTCAATTCCTCCTGGCATGTTTAGGAAAAACAAAGACGATTTGTCTGTCTCCTCATCCCTCCCTTCCCCATTGTGGTGGACATGTGACAGAACCTCAACCAAGCTGATGATAAATAACCCCTCTTATCTGGACAATGGCTGAGAGGGGCTCTGGACTATGCTACGACCTTCCCTTAAAAATTCAATGTCTTCACCGGCCTCATGTATTATGTCTATTTATGTTGCTTTGCTGTGGTAGGATTTTTTTTTTGATGCCTCAAACCATGCCCTGTCTAGGACATGGTGTGAGAGATCGTTTTTTAAACCTTCTCTCCTTATGTTTTCTTCCCTTTTCTCATCCAAGCAAAAATACAAACCGGATTCCAAAAAAGTTGGGACACTAAACAAATTGTGAATAAAAACTGAATACAATGATGTGGAGATGGCAAATGTCAATATTTTATTCGTAATATAACATAGATGACAGATCAAAAGTTTAATCTGAGTAAATGTAACATTTTAAAGGAACAATATGTTGATTCAAAATTTCACAGTGTCAACAAATCCCAAAAAAGTTGGGACAAGTAGCAATATGTGGCTGGAAAAAGGAAATTGAGCATATAACGAACAGCTGGAAGACCAATTAACACTAATTAGGTCAATTGACAACATGATTGGGTATAAAAAGAGCTTCTCAGAGTGTCAGTGTCTCTCAGAAGCCAAGATGGTAAGAGGATCACCAATTCCACCATTGTTGCGCAGAAAGATAGTGCAGCAATACCAGAATGGTGTTACCCAGCATAAAATAGAAAATACTTTTAAGTTATCATCTTCAACTGTGCATAGCATCATCAAAAGATTCAGAGAATGTGGAATAATCGCTGTACTTAAGGGTCAAGGCCGTAAAATTCTACTGGATGCTCTTGATCTCCGGGCCCTGAAACGTCACTGCACCTCAAACAGGAATGCCACTGTCAAGGAAATAACAGAATGGGCTCAGGAATACTTCCAGAAAGCATTGTCAGTGAACACAATCCACCGTGCCATCCGCCGTTGCCAGCTGAAACTCTACAGTACAAAGAGGAAGCCATTTCTTTCTTTTTTTTCCTTTGTGATGGCCTCCCTTCTCCCCTTACAGCCATCCTCTCCACACCATTATTATGAAATATTTATTATAGTGACTATCTAGTGTAGTTTTTTTTTTTTTTTTTAATAGGATAGAAAGAAAGAAAAGACAAAGTAAGACTCCAAAATATAAGAAATATATACAAATAGAGCACACGTCAAAAAACACCCGGCCACTGTCTGTTCACCTGCAAAGAACATGACAAAACACAGCAACAAAATACATATGTATAAAGAACTTAAAATATTCATGGCTTTGCAGTAAGTTTCCATAAATATATATACCCATACCTACGCCTATATACATACACATGAATATACACTCACATACATATCTATATATCTACATATAAAGCCTACATAAGCATCCCTGCTTCTATTTGTGTGTGGTTGTGAGCATGCATAAGTGCATAAGGCTTCTCTAATAGAACATTTATTAGTAACTGTGAAGCAGCAGAGACCCGACCCCCAAGACCAGAGGCAGACGAAAAAGGGGGGACCAGAGCCCAAGACCCCAGGAGGGACCCCGACCGTGGAGCCCCCAGAGCCACCCACACAGGACGAACCACTCACCCACCCCCCAGAATGGACCACAGGGGAGAACCGGAAGATCCCCACCAGCAACCACATACAGTGACCCCCGGGGCCAACAGCGACAAACTCATAGGCCTCCGTCGGCACCCGCCGCACCGATGTAGGTCCAGGTCCAGGCACCGAGGCCCGGGCACAGAGGACTCACACCACCCAGGCCAAGGCCTGACAGGGCCAGAGGACCCGAGCCCCACCAGGCAGACACCAGGCCGAGCCGACACACGCCCAAGCGCCCAGCCCCCGATACCAAGGGCCCCAAGCGCGCCGGCAGGCAAGGGCACACCCCACCAGAGGGCCGCGCAATAGGGGCGCGATGCCAAGCACCCCCAGTTGTATCAAAGAGGGGGCAGTCCGAGTCTCGGCCTAACAAATACTCATTCATACACAGACACAATCACACTATCCCAACCTCAATCTCACATCCATTCACTCAAAGACATACAATAACAATACATTTCATTCTTATTCCCGATACACACTCTATACCCCCCAGGTCCAAGACATGTACCCGCCCTCTACAGGGGGCAGCCCATGCCCAAACCCAGGAGGTAAACCCATTCATTCTTGAGCGGAGAAGAGCCAATACCCCAGACCCGGCCCAGGCCATGCCCCGCCGACAGGACACCCCCCCACCATGAAGAGGACACGCCACCGACCACCCCCACACACCGCCAACAACCAAGCACGCACCCCCAGCCGACCGCCCGCCAGGCCCCGGCAGCCACCCCGGCCAGCGGG